TTAAATCAACAATTCCGCAAGAAAAGTACTGTAAAGTTATTAATCGAAGCGAAATTTCTGATTACTAGATAAACAAAAAAAAAAATACATTACGGTAAAACTAATGCATTCCTCGCTTCGTTCAAAATCTAAAATAAAATAATAACAACTAAACGTTGCGTAAATACCTTTAGTCGATAAAAAAAAATATCATTTAAATCGAGTAATCAATACTAGAAATCCGTTTTAATTATATCCGACACTTATAATTTCATTATGATCCATGACAGGAATCCACGCCGTTTAGGGTCTATGATACCGTAGATGCTATCTAAAAACGGAAAGACGTTCCTATATAATTTTTTTATGCGGTGGATTCATAGAAAATATAATATACCGAAATTAGGTGCCCAACTAAGTCATTGTTAAATGTTTGCCATAACTATTGATTACACTGTTGATGCCACTGATGTTTTACTCGAATTGAACGATTGCAAATTCGATATTTAGAAATAAAAAAAAAAAAAGAACGGGTATACTTCGCACGTGGGTGCAGCCACTGTTGTAAGTGAGAAGTTGGAAAGGTAAGATACAGACAACGATAAACCATTGCTAACGAAAAAACGTTTCTGAGCAGAGTCCAGTTGATGGTGTTGTTCTGTCGACAAAACCTTTGTCAACAATATATATGCCATATTATGGTAAAATGATTACCATAATGTGCGTTTCCATGATAACAATGATTGTTTAAAAAATATTCAAAATAATAATAAAAATAAACAAAAACGGTTGCCAATGACAACCTTATTTTCAATCTTTCAATCGTTTTTAACCTAAAGAACCAGGTTTTCCTCATTACTTCTAATATTAATGACAATTTCAATAAATTTAAATTTCATTAATGTACCTCTCAGAGAACATTTCCTTTCAGAAAAGGTATAAGTATACATGATTATCGGAGTAAGATTTCTAGTCATAAAAGTGTTCAGATAAAAACAAAAAATAAACGTCTTTGTAAAATCAATAAACTATTCGCTACACTCAAAATCTAAAATATATATAGAAATGCAAATTGAAATAATTGTTCAGTCATGCCGAACCAAAATTATTTTTAATGAAAATATCGTACCTTTATATATAAAAAAAAATCGATACTGCTCACGAGTAGGCAACTTTTATAAAAGGCTAATTGGGATGCATACAGGATTATTTAGTTTATGTACTGTATGTTATGCAACGATAAATCATTGCGAACGAAAAAACGATTCTGAATGAAATATTTGTGTTTTTTCTTCTTGTTACCAAAGTAACCCGGAAATAAACAAAAGAAAAAACGACCTAGGGGGCAAACTGCTAAAAATGTCAATACATGTCAAATAAATTAATATTAAGCGAAAAATCTGCATCTTTTAAAGTGTAACAAAAAAAAAAATCACAATATCATTACTAACCGTAAAAGTGTTTTTCGAAAGACAAAAAAAGAAAAAAACATCGTTGTAAAACTAATATAGTTTCCGCATAATATTCAGAATCTAAAATCATCTGAAATATTTAAATTTTATAAGATTATTAAAAAGAAAAAACGGTCGAATGTATTTTGCCAGCTGTGGCGGTTGTAGGTACTTAAAGTGCCAAAGGGAAGGGCGAAATTAGTTAAGTTTTAAAAATTCCTTTATTCCATAAAAAAAGCATTACTATACAAACACGAAGCAGCAATTGAAATTTGTAACAAAGTACTTATTTTATGTAAAAATGAAAAGAAACTAAAAAGAAAATTGTAAGAAGCCAATATTCATTATACAATTACCGCTCTGGAAATTCAGTGGTGCATTGTTGAATACTATTTACTGATCGCAAATTATTATTCTGTTGGATCCTGCGTTTTTCTAATTAATTTGTGAACATGTTCACGGTGGTTCAATTATTAAACGTAACGTGCCTTTACAAGCTTGCAGTTACTAAAATTGTTAACATCGTATAAAACACCCACCTCCCTCTACCTCACCCGTGGCGTGACGTTAGTATCATTTAGGGGTCATGGCCCAAGGTTATTCTGAAGATTGGTGTTTGGTAAACGAGTGGGTCGTAACTTTCAGGTGAATGAAAAATTAATTTTGACGTTTAATGATTTATTTCAAAATAGTAATGTAATCAGTTTATTGTTACTAGGTGAACGTCCAATGATCAAATAGTCTGTACAGTCACGAATAGTCGCTATTGTTAATCATATACCTAACCTACCTGATAATGTATGAACAAAAACATCGTTTAAATTTGTTTATCGGACGACAATTATTTACATAAATATATATATATATATGTATAGGTACTTAGGCGGTGCTAGTGTAAAGCATAGACATTGTCAACTGTATAAGCAAAAAAAAAAAATAGGCCATTCGGTCAATATGAAATAAGGGTGGTGGGTATCATATGACAAAAATAAGTTTTTTCTTATTCGTATTAGGTTATACGCATACATAAAGATTTTCAAGACAGCGTTTAGCATTTTGAACGCATTGTAATTTCTCAAAATTAATTGGATTTATCGAGTAATGGCCGAGTATGGCCTTTATTAATAGGTTTCTTATTAAAAACTGACCCAGACGCGTGTGTAAATATAAAAAATAATACCTACTTAATTGTAGTTATCAAATTACAATAATTTCAATTATAACAGAACAAACGTATTATAATGAACGTTAATGCGCATCGCTTAAAATTGCTATAGTTATACTTCAGAATCCAAACAAAGTCGGGCGATCGTAGGTTATTTTTTGAGAAAAACGATTAGAAAAAAAAAATAAAATAATAAACCAAGTTCTGCAGTCAATTTCTTTACGATTTCCGGTAGATGCGTACACAGAGAAAACTACGGAACATACTTTAATATTTAAACAAAATACGTTTTTTGAGTGTGTAATATTTAATGATTTGAAAACAATTAAATTTGTTCATAAAAAATGAGTGTTTGTTTTTTTTCACATACAAATAGAAATAATTCATAAGCGATACACGGTGAACGTTTCAAGAAAATAAGTGTGTGTAACAATTAAAACCCGTCTACATGATAGGTCATAACGATTTAAAACAAATAGGTATGTATTGTGGAAAATGTAGGTAACATCGATTTACAAAATATAAAATTTAATTCAATATATTATTATAATATAGCCTCGTTGATTTTTTTTTTTAATTTTTTTTTTTTTTTGTTGTGTTCAGAACCTATATACTACAATTCAAAAAACGTCACGGAAAATGTACCTGATACGTTTAAGAATATATTATGATAATATTATATTAACGAGGCGCCTATTATAAAGGAGTGGCTTTGTCCATCACGTGACTGATGTTTTAAAATATTCTAATCTTTCATTTTTACTCGTCGTTTGTAATTTATGTGCGTACAGATTTTAATACTCGGGCATAAACATCAAAACGAGATAAAAACAAAAAAAATCGTTTCCTACAAAAGCCCCTAGTGTGTACCTATATGAAACGAAAACATAAAGAACTATCTGAAATAAGGATTAAGTTGAATTTTTTTTTTTTTTTAATTTGGTTTTTCTTCCGTGTATTGATACGCATTTATTATTATTTTTTTAATTTTATAAATATAAACGCCAATCGGCTTTTGAAAACAGTACAAAACAATAACTTATAACAATCATGACAATAGTGAAACAACAATTTTTGTAACAAAACGAATTTACCAAGGCAAAAATATCAACATTATTGTCGTTTAAGGAACGCGTAGCTTTGGGTATGGGATCATGCATTAAAAAATTGGACCGAGAGTCCGGAGGGTAAAATGACTCACGGGATCTGGTATGGATGCTTCGAACACGTAAACGGGTACGCTTAAGGAGTCGGGGCGAGTCAACCTTACCACGAAGTAGATTGATCAAAAATAGCTGATCTGAACTTAGCCGTCTATTTTCTAGTGAACCGAGTTTCAAAATGTCCATGGTTAGCTTATACAAGTAGTGATGCTGAGGGTGATCGATATTCAAGTATCTGATGCGTTTGCGAATCTAATGTCAATCGCATCTGTGAACAAACAATTTTCAAATTTACTGATTACATTTTAGCGACGTACATCGATTCGAGCATATTGCCTTCAGAAACTTGGGCCGAAAATCTGGATAAGGACATCACACAAACTACAAATGCAACTGAACCATACAATCGGCATGCAAAAGATCAATTTTATATGGGTCATTGTTCAGTACATATTGGTAGAAATGTGCGTATTACTAAAATTACAAAGTGAATCATATTTGTTTCTAAACTCTTTTCCTTCAGACTCAAAATTAAGGAAATCATATTAAAATTGGAGAAATGTCAATAGCATGGTGAAATAAGTCAAACAGAAAATATGAAAAAATTTGATTAAAAAAAAAAAATCGACCAGTTTATCAGAATTAAAATTTGTTTTGCCTTTGCATTTACATAACTAACAAAAAAAAATATTGTATTGAAAAAAGTATTCGGAATTTCGAAACGTTTTTCAAACAAAGCAAATAATGCTCTTATTTTAGAGTACATGATATGAACAAATCGGAATATTTTTACCGCCCGAAAAAGTGTCTGCCGAGAGGAAAAACACACGCCATAGAAAACTAATAGCATCTTCGTTACACTCGTAATTAAAAAAAAAAAAAAAAAATTAACATACCGACTTGTATGGGGTTTCAACGAAACATTTAATCTATTTACTGCCAATACAATAATTAATCACTGTAATAGTCGTATACAAACCGTTTTGTCGGAAAATAAACAAAACAGTAAAACACTATTACTTATATTGTATTAAAACTCGGACTGTTATGGAATTCGCATACCATCTAACTATTGTTCTAATAAAATATAAATTTTTAAGAAAAAGTTTTAAAACTTCGTTTATTCATCGATAATAATTGTATACGTTTACGAGAAAAACGTTTGTCCGAAATAAAATATTGGCGAGGTTACGTTAGGCTACTTAGTGTTTTTGCATCAATATGTGCATGGTATTTGATTGTGTCTATATATTTTGTAGTCGTAATTTCGTCGTCTCTAAACTTGAAATGATTACGTTATGAATAATAAACTAAAAAAAAAAAAAAAAAACTCATACTTGGGATGGGTGTGCCACTATTGTGGGTGGAAAATTGGGGAGACAAAAACTATAATAAAACAACCGATTTAAAATAATTGTGCAACCGATTCATGTGTCGACAAAACGGTTGGTTGGCGAACTGAAATTAACCATACACAATTAATTGTCAGTACGCTTATTTGTACTTAGTTGAATAAGTAGTGAAAATATGTGACGATTATTATTTTATTTTAATAATTTATGAATTCTGCAGAATAGTTTAATGTGATTTTTTTTATATTTGACACTATCGTTGGGGGGGGGGGGGGAAAAAGCTACCTTAACCCTCGGGTACGTCACTACGTAAAAAGATAAATCATTGCTAATGAAAATGAAAAACGATTCTGAACGAAATTCTGATAAACGCATTTTAAATGCTATAATTTTTAATATTTTTCATAAAATTTAAAATTTTTATAAAAAAAAAAAAAATTATAATTTCGGATTTTCGATATTTGTTTAGTGACATAAGAACAACTCACGATGAATCGTTTAACGAATTTTCAAGCAATCTTGAGAAGCCAACAAAATCATATCCGCATAAAATCTAATGAAAACTAAAAAAGCTCGGGAATTTCAAATTATTATAAAAAGCTCGAGGTTCGCGAGAATGTTTAGCAAACAGTATCACGTCTAGAAAGTGCGAAAATGGAAAATAACGGAAATCGTTTTCGCGTTAATTTCCGCGCGGTTTTTCCCAATTTTACCCGTATTATTATTAAAAAAAAAAAAACTACAAGATAAATATTGTAAAAGTGACTTTCTCGATGCACCGACTAGAAAATATCTGTAATCAGAAACCATCCTAAAATACCGATAACCTAGTAGACAAATTGTTAACAGACAGAAAAAAAAAATGCGCACTCGCAGGAATTTGAAATCCGGTTACTTACCTATATCGGGGTTTCGAAGTGTTTTAAACGTTCACGACTTGGATTAAAATTACTAACATGTTCGGAAGAGTGTATAACGTATAGATATTTTATTTGGTTCCTGTTCGTTCTGGAATAAAAACGAAAATAAACAGCTTCTATTACTTTTGGATAAAGAAGTAACATTTTTTACAATTGTTATTTTGTTCTTATAAATAATCACGATAAAATTCTACTCGTATAATATAATTGACTATATATTATGGTATTATATTTATACGATATTTACGAAAAACAATGTTTAAAACACACGCATTCATTTACAGTTAATAAACATGTTGTTAACAAAATAACACGTTTCAAACAAAGGACCGGCTTTTTTTTCGGATTACAAACGAGAAAACGTTGGGTATTCCGGAAAAACTACACTATCAATTTGCAATACACAGTCACGCGAGTGCACATCAGGAAACGATAATAGTCGAACAGTTTGTTTTTCAAGACGCTACATGGAAGATGGAAGGGGCGGGGGAGAAATGGCGAATGCCGCCGAGTCACGTCGATAAAACAAACAGTATAATATTTTAATATCCGATAAGACGAATCCGGCGCGATTTTATTCGCAATCTATTTATTGCACCGTCGTTTATTGTATTAGTATTTCCGTCGTCCGATAAGACGTTAAAGGGTTTTTATTTTTCGCGTCGTTAAAACGGGGCGACGACGCCGTAGCCGGACGTTTTTACTACACACGGTCTTGACGACATTTTTCATAACGCGCGGCGGCAATTTCGTTTTTACGATCCGAACGGACGATACGCGGCGTATAATAATAATAATAGTATGAGATATCGCGTATATTGGACGTCGTAGCGACATAAATTTTCGCGCGGACTTTTATTAGTAAAACTCCGAAATGGGGGACGCGCGGATTATTAAAAACCGCCGCGATGCGCGCGGGGAGACCGGCGAAATTCGACGGGTCAGACGGCCGCGTCGCCGTCGTCGTGAATAACATTGCGTCAGACCGAACAACAAATATCGTCGATTTAACAACGTAATCGCCCGAGAACCGGGTCATATTGTATAATGATCGTAAAATGTACGCCGCGGACGAAAATACCCGACGCGTAAAAAACGATTACCGAAAAACCACTTATTACAGTATGGGTTAACAATAAAAAAAAAAAAAAAAATCGCCATTACGATTAGGTACGTATTTAACGAAGAATAAATTACACGCGTCGTAATACAATAGGCATACTTATTAGTAGTGTGTACGAGCGCGCGGAGAATATGACGCGCGCGAGCGCGATAAAATATCATGTGGGATACCGTAATACCGTCGTCCCGTTCCCTTGGTGGTTTTATTTTTTTTTTTTTTTTTTTTTTTTTTTATTTT